CTCCCGTTCCAGCGAATGATTCGGTGGCAGTAGTGCAGGACTTGGTGGGTTTTTGCCAGGCAAGCGTTCTCCCCATAAAAAGGCACAAATTTTCGCTTAAAAACACTGTGACTGAGCAATCTTTCTCCATTGTCAGAGCGAACTGCATCATATGCACGTGTTCCCTAGAGATGGCGCTCAGATAGAAGCAGCCGACCCACGCATGAGTTGAAATCTCCTGTCATAATGATGATGCCCGTTTTAGGTACCCTTCGGAGATGATAAAGAAGACTTTGATAGAACTGGCCCTTGACTGCATCCGAGCTGTAGTCACTGCGGGTATAAGCAGAGATAGCAAAAAAGAGCATGCTTATCGGCTCAATGTCTGCTAAACTTGCAGGAGCCAAGAAGCCTAATAGCACAGAGACGACCATTGAGCGGAATCCACTCAAGGAGAGCGGCCTCGGCTCTAGCAGTGATCGGAATCCCAACACCAGCTTGCCCAGAAGCGACAGATTCAGAAAGGCGAAGATGAAAACAGGTGTGAGGTAGATTGGTGACGATAGGTAGTAGACTGTGTTGGAGTTCTGAAGTCACGTCTCATACAGGCAGAAGACATCAATTGAACGGGTTTCAAGGTGCGTGCCATTCCCGCTTGTTGTCCGATCTGCAGTAGAGTGCGCACGTTGTGTTACTGGCTTGAACCCAGTTCCAGTTTGCAGAAGCGATGATGGAAGAACTTGTGGCTGGTAGTTCCCTGTGAAACACTATGTGGCGGATGTTGATGGGACGAATTCACCGGTGGAGACCGAGTCGTTTAGCTTCTATGAATCAGGTAATGAAGTGCTTGAATGATAAAAAGGGAAGAAAGGTAATTGGGTGGTGTGTGATAGTAAAGCTGGTGTAGTAGCAGGAGCGTAGAACATCGCCAGAGGGAGGTGATGTCACATCGATTGGTGACGATACGTTTGCAACAGACTTGCCAAGCTCAGCGAACAATTCGACTGTCACCAGAACAACCTGAGCTATCAATTTGCGCTCTAATTGAGATAGGTGCCTACCTGTCTAACACCCTTCACCTCGATTGCTGTCTCCGGGAGACGGGGTGCACGATCGTCGTGGCCGTGCTAAGCTCAAAGAATGGTTCGACCCAGTGCGGAGCGGACTACGGCCCAGCCACTGCCTTGTGTACGTCTGGTAGGAATGTTCCCACTGTTCAAATGAATGAATGATGCGCATGTTGAAGGAGTATGGGCCGGCTCCTATTTAATCGCGGATCTCATCTACATGCCTCCCGGTCTCATGTCGTGAATATTATGGCTTGGGCATCATTATGCTGCAGGAAACATGGATTCACGCTGATATTGTAGATGCAGTTGTGGAACTCGACGGATTTTGTTCCTTTCGTTTGACCGCCAATGTACACAGAAAAACCGCGGTGGTGCCGTTATCATTTACATTAATTATTGATGGTGCACGTCGATTAAAAGCATCCTTCAATACAGCTCGCAAAACATCAACTGTTTAATCGCGAAATACAAGCCAAGATTGCTGAACGGTAATCTTTCGATTATATTGGCTAATATTCATATTACCCAGCTGTTCAAGGTACGAAGTTGAAGGATTGTACAACGGATTTATAGCTGCGGTCCGCCAATACCTGGAACTTTTCCTGTGTACAGTTGAAGGCGATTTTAACAGATCTGACACCAGCGTCACTGCGAGCCATGGGCCAAAGAACATATTGCAATCTCCAACCAGGTAAGATGCAACACTTGACATGGTATTTGTTAACAACATGAAAGTGTTTTCTGTTTGTAATCGGGTGCCGCTTGGGAGCTCTGATCATGCCACTGTAAAGTTATCTCCCGTTATCTATAGCAAGATAAACCAAAGATCTCACCCGTTGCAAAGAGAAAGTTCAGCGGAGACAATGCCGTCACTAGAACATTCAGCGACTGCATGAAACCATAGCCACCACAGAATTTATTTTATTTTATGATGCAGAAGTATCGAAGTACCGTGACCAGTTAACTAGTTACTTAAACTTCCGTTTCGACACTTTTCCAATTGAAGCAATTTGTATCCGTACCGACAGACTCTCGTCCGTGTCCCACACGACTGCGTAGGCTTAAGAAAAAAGAAAGACCGAAGCCATTGTGAGCAGGCCTACACAACCTGAACTATGCAAACAAAGGGCGCTTATTCAAGCGCTCCTTCTGCCCTGGGGCTAACACACTTCCAAACAGCTTCCACTTCACGTGACAACCACCGGGTGATGAGTGCGTCGCACATGCAGTTGTAAAGCAGGTGCTATGTCTCGTGAGCATGTGTGTGTCTACGTCTGCCTACGTATACTGAGGTAGCCCCTGCTTGAGTAGATCAGCCAATGTATCGATTAAGACAGCTCAATTACTGCCTCGCTTTGATTCGCTAAGCTTTATCGTGCTTCATCAGACTATCCTGCTTCAACTTCCTATTTTATAATTGTAAACGCCTGATGAGATTTATCGGAGTGCTCTTCGCAACCTTGTGTTCTAAGGTAAAGGCTTTTAAACGCAAAGATGCTGCATCAGTAAAATCTCTATCGATTGATATAAAAATGGAATTGCATCGCCTCAACCATAAATACGTTCAAGCCATACCTGGAAACAATAACTGTATGTTGTCTACACAAGATGTAGGCGCCTTGACCCGGAATGTTTGCTTAGGGCATTAAGGTTTTCAGGTAAGTCTCCCTTCTCTCCCTCTTCTTATTCTTTATTTCATAGGTCTTCATGGTTGTATGGCAGCGAAGCACCAGTTCAAATGGCTGATGTACTGCTGTTGATGATGATGATGGAAACAATAACTCGTGAAATACGGAAAACGCTGAAACGTCTAAGTGGAGTCATCCGCGAGGCCACGCATTGAATTCTAAATGTGGAAAAACTAAAGCTCACTTTTTGTGACCACCTCAGTCTTCAATATACCATCTGCTGTAAACTAGCCGCAAATAACCCTCCTTGAGCAGCCAGAAAGTATACATGGAATTAATCGGATTGAGTGAACAAAGCACCTGGTAATGAGAAATGGTCTCCAGTCGTTCTCAATGAGTGTGTAAATTATCTGACAGCCTCTTGCCGATTTGAACACACTGTGCTCCAAGCAGCACAAGATGGCTGACAGCTGGCGAAACGCAAACGCCCCACCAGTGCCAAAGAAAGGAACCTGGAAATATCGGCCAACCGCTTGCCCGTCGTTTGCTCTGAAGATCATTGAGAGGCGGATTATTAAAAGGATCTCAGCTCAGACCCATTTTGATGACCTTCATCAGTTTGCATATCGCAGCTCAAAGTCTAACTTAGATGCAGTAGCATGTCTGTTACATACTATGTTCTCGATAATGGATAATGAAAATAAATAAATCCGGATCTGCTTCCTGGAATTCAGCAACGCTTTCGGTTGTGTGAACCGTTAACTACTGTTGCGCAATCTATCAGATACTGGAGTTCAAAATTTTGTTGTTCTGCTGAGATTATTTCATTAGGTGTACCCAATTTCGCAGGTTATTGGGAAAAATACTTTTCACGCACCATGAGTTATGGTGTTCTTCAGAGAGCCAGTTTGTCTCCATTACTATATTCCAGTTAGTTTGCCACAATCCCCGTCCCTGAAATAGCTGAAGTATGCGGACGAGGTAATCCTTGACGTGCATCATCCAAGCATAGAGTCATGGGTCAAAATACAAACCATCTTGGACAACCTCACAGCTAGGTCAAAATCCTGTTGCCCACCGGTAACGACCAAAAATGCAAGGACGTTCTATTTTTGAAGCGCAAAGGAAATCGCTACCAGCAAATCCCAACGCAGTGTCCACCACTTTGCATTGACGGTGAATGTTTGATCTCTTCCACATCAGTAAAATACTTGGGATTAACACTGAGCAGTGGGCTTACGTGGTTTCTTCACGTGAACGAAACATTCGCAAAAGTTAGAAGACTCCCATTCTATATTACACGTCTCAGTTCTTCTTGTGTATCCCCTATTTTACTCAGCGTTTTGTCACTGCATGTGTGTTACTTTACTAGACATATTGCTCTCCTGTGATCTTCCATGGTCCCCTAAGTAAGGAACTCAAAGTAATTGCCAAATCAGTGAAACACTTATCCTGGTGTAGTGGCATTTCAGGGTTGGAGGTTGTTGACATCATTGTAGCCAGCCACTCCAACTGATGTATCAAACTTGCATCTAAAATAATTACCGACGTCAGCCACCCCCTCCACAGAGCGTTGTCCGAATGCGTATCAATCCCCTCGACCAGACAGAGCTACGAAAGTATATACACATGCACAAGGTCCTGTGGTACATCAGTAGTTTCTTGCCTGTCGCAGTTTGTGAACAATAAAAGTTCAATCATTTAAGAATTAGTTAGTAAATAACCTCAGTGACACTGGATTTGTCAAGTTTTGTAACAATTGTGGTTTTATATCTATCCTCATGTTTACATTATTTATACCTGTCCGTGGCGCCTCTGTTAGAGCTGAATATTCACCCACCATGGGTGAATAAGGAAAATTGTTGACTTGACCCTGACTGACATGACTTTACACTGGATAGGTGGCGTGCGTGTACGGAGTTGTGGGTGATGCAACGCAAGTCACCCATGTTCCTTCAGTAGGTGCAGTTGTCTTGTGGTGAATCGCAACCTCAGTGATAGACAAATGCGGAAATCGATGCGACAAACCGTGTATATGCGCCGAACATCCTGACATCAAATTTAAGATAGAACGAAGACCCCAGTTTCATGTGTAGTATACCTTACCCGATGGGAAATGTGCAGACAGCATACAACGATCGATGGACGCAGCAAGTAGGTGGCACTGGGGTAATAAAGTTAAACTTTTCTGGAAGTGACTTTGTCACTAGTAGCTGTAAAATAAATGGTTGCTTAGTACTGAAGAATCGCTTTCGATATCAGAATTAGAAATAATCACTGAAAAACGTACGACAATGACACGGGATAATCGAGGATCATAACAGAAGGCGGTACATCTTTATATTTCAGATCAGCTTCATATTTCTCTGGCCCAAATATACAAGTAGTGACCAAGCGAACCGATGCGACTTGCATTACGAACAAAGTGCCAAGAGGACAACTATTCCAGCTCTTTTGTGGTTGGCTTCAGCACCAGTTCATCGGCTAAGCTAACAAGCCATCCAGGATGAAGTCCATAGAATATTTGCCGCGGACCTTTTTGTATCTCCATAAGACGGCGAGTGTGCTCAGGTAGTTCGGCAAAGTTCACCGGATTATAGCCATATTTCTGCGCCAACCACTTTCGAGCAGCAATAATTTCCTCCGGCTTCGAAAGGTAACCTCGATTTCTGGCGTCCGCATAGTACGGCACCGCATTCTGCAAAAGTGAAGCCAAAGGAAAGCTCCTTCAGGGTTGACAGATCGCAGGGGTTAGGGGAAGCAACAAATAAGTAGATGAATATCATTTGCAAAGCATCCTCAACAAAAAAGGGCATAGATGAGGCAAATCCCAGTAGATGAAGTTCTATGGAGGAAGATGGCAGTGAAGCATGTGAGCTGAGATTAATTAGGCATTAAAAATTGTGAACTCAAGACTTTATTACAGAAGAGAATTCGAAGACGGGAAGGATAACAAGATGAATATTAGCCAGGAGCTAAGTTAACATGAAGTGCCCTAAAGGGCTCTGATAAACTACCTTCACAACATACATGACAAATTGCGGACGCATGAAGCATTTTGTGCAATGTAGTCAACATCACAACAAAGCACTACTTCTAAAGAAGCGCGAGCAAAAAGTCCCATTATGTACCTATGGGGTGACTTGTAATTGGGCAAACATTTGATGTTTCACAACTGTCAATCGGCGAAACAGTGACAAAAAAAGCATTTTAGCAACCTTACCGTCTCGTTAGGGCTCGTGTGGCTTCTTCTTGGTTCAACTATTTACGGAGATGACGGGATAACAGCCAGTCAGTGAAAGTTAGGGTAAATAACGCTGCATGATGGAAGTACTTGGTTCCCGGTGCTTGGAACACTGGGTGAACAACCCTGAGGTTCGCCAGCTGGTTTTTGGTAATAAGCCTTCTGGTGTCGCGCGTATTGGCCAACGCTCACACGTTTACGTTAGTTAGAGCATGTCTCGTTGACCGACTTCCTCGGCGTACATTATACGTTTTCGCTGCACCAAGTTGAAGGAAAGCTAGACGTGACCAGTCGATGAAGTGGCATAAGTGCATGAACATATTGACTGGAAGAATTGGCCATGCTAGTGCATGCCGCCTTTGTGGATAAAATATTCAAGATGAGCCAAACCAGTGATTTGTTACTCTATCGATATACCACAGCCGCGTAGTCAGTGGTGCTCCTGCATTGCGTATATATATATATATATATATATATATATATATATATATATATATATATATATCTTGTGGATTTTTATGAGAGGTGTAATGTTGGTAGAAAGCAGAAGTCACGATTAAACTGCGCACAATGATCTGCCTCGACGGGAAATCGAACCCAGTCAAATGAATTACCGGTCCGCTGCTCTACCACTGAGCTACCGAGGGTTGACGATCGCGCACCAAGTAGAAGTCAGGTATTAAATTGCGCACCTGATTGTCAGCCCTCGGTAGCTCAGTGGTAGAGCAGCGGACCGTTAATTCGTTGGACCGGAGTTCGATTCCCTGTCGAGGCAGATTATTGTGTGCAGTTTAATCGCGACTTCCACTTTCTACGAATATATATATATATA